ATTGGAGTGGTCGAAGGAAACCCTTTGTCCAGGGGTGGACACACACACACAACACCAAACAACGCAAAATGCAGGCTGAAATAGGCTCCAAGAGTTACAGTATAGGTATATTTGGAAAGAGAAGCACAGAAAAGCCCTGAAGTACATTCACCAAGACCAAATTGTCCACAGTCGCAAAGAAGCAGTTCGACAAACAGTTCGATCCAGTTTAGCTTCAAGAACTGCAGATCTAAGGGCCGGTGTGGCGGCCGCATGCAAGGCAGGAATTCGTGACCTGTCTGAACGACATCGGACCACCCATCGGACCGCCCATCGGACCGCCGATGCGCCGGACCGGATGGATCTCCGAGTCGAACTCGATGGCAGCACCAGATGGGAATGATCTCAGGAAACCAACCGTAAGGGGCATCAAGCGGCCCGTTCCCTTTGGTGGATGGTTTGCATCGTTGCCTGGAACGGTTCGTTTTCGCAGCGAATGGACTCGTAAGAACTCCAGCCCGACATCCCGTTGTCGGACTCTTCCAGAGATCCCCTCACCACGCAGAACAGCCCGCGAAGCCGATATCTGGAACGGTTTCCCTTTGCTTCGGACCGTTCGTGACCGTTCGTTCACGATCCCCTGAGGCACTTAAGCCGATGTCTAATGGGACTCCAAAAACACGAAGGTGCCCACTTTGGGGTGCCACCTAAAGGGGTCTCACCGGATGCTTTCACATGAAGCAGGCTCAACTCTCCAGGGACCTGGTTCTTTTCATACTCTAAAAGGGACGTGACGTGTTTTTGGAGCTGAAGCATTGATAAATTTGTTGGTTAATTTGCTTTATATCCCAGACACTCCATGGGACTGCCATATTTACCTACATTGGGGTGGTTTGGGGGGTCAATGTAGGCATATATGCTATACATGGAGTGTCTGGGTATAGTATTTTTTTCTTGCGCCGGCTCTCCCGACAGTTCCGGAAACTGCAGTGATTTCTTGTTTGTGCTCGCTGAGAAGTTTGATATGTCCAGTACAGCAGAGGTTGGGGTTTCCAGAAGGAAATGGTGGTGACCCCCCTATCAAGCAGAGGGCACAGGGCGAGACAATGTGACATAGTGTGACACTGGACCAGTCAGGTCAAAAGGGACAAACATGAAGTACCCAACTGGTTCGATGCTCGACATTTACCTGAGAGAAGTCAAGAATCGCCCCTTCAAAAAGAATCCTCGGGTCTTTATGACTTGACCAAGGCTTTATGTTCAGGTTATATAGTTGGATGGTTTGCTTACAGACATGGGGTACCATCTTCTCCTTCTCAGTCCCCCAATTGCTTCATCCACTTTGTCTTCCTACTTTCTCGCAGCTACGACCGAGGCGCTGAACTTCCCGAAGGACACGCTGCACGAGCCTGGGCCAAGTTCGGGACAGCGGAACGGAACAGCTGAGAAACGATCCGGTGTTTTGGGAGCCCAGGCTTTCCGAAGTGCTTCTTTTCCAGAGCCCGAGCACACTCGTCCATGTCGTGTCATGCAGTTCTATCCCTAGGGATCCAGTTGTACCTTCTCAGACGGTACTTGGACCCTCCTGGCACCTAACAGTGCCTCCAATCACCATCTGAGAAGGTACTTGGATCCCTAGGGTATGTAAGGCATGAAGCACCGTGCCAGTCTGGACACCTCCTAGAATATGAAATTTGATGGCCCAAACCACATGCGATTCTTGAATGCATGGTTCTTATGCATGGTAAGTTCCTGGCCTCACTCCATGTAGGGCATTTTTTTCCTACATTGGGGTGGTTTTAGGGGTCAATGGATGTAGATATGCCATATATATATATATATAGAGTGTTTGGTCACAGCATGTCACAGCAGATTGTTGCTGTTGCCCAGTTCCTGGTTGTGCCATCCTGGAATCCAGTTCTCCAGCTGGTTGGCGAGAGTTGTAGAATTCACAGAGCTTTTGTTCCTGCGGATCGGCCAGCACTTGGCTTGTATAAGGATGTGTGTGTGGAAGTTGGCCGTCGCTACGGGATCGATCAGAATCATTTGTTGCGCTTGGTAGGCTAACCTTGTGCCCTAGACTTCCTGGAACGACCATGAAAAAAGACAAGGGACAGACGACCTGGTTGTTGTCATGTAAAATCCTTAGGTGATTCGGTATTCAACCTATTTATATAATTAATGGTGGTTGGAAGTGGAACGCTGCTTGTGTGTGTGCCGTGGTGTGGGGCAATGACACGAAATGGACCCTACACGTCAATGTGTAACGTGGCATGGCATGGTGCCCGAAAGGAAGACGTTGTAGCTCTCCGCGAAAGCCATGGTGATGTTGTATCTCCCCCCACTTTATGGGACTGCCGCCATCTATGCCGACATATACATTGACCCCGACTTCAACCACCCCAATGGTAGTAACTCAATTCCCACCTCATCCAAGGACAGCTGTATCGAAACTTGCTTCTGTGACTTGGACGGCTTCGTCCCGGATCCGGACCGTGAACGGTCGGACCGTGGTCGGAGGGATGGGGGGTGTACCCAGACGCGGTGAGGCACCCGAAGCCTCAGGGGAGAAGATGGGGCTGCTTTTCTCACCCGATCGGTTTGGTTCGGGACTGGTTGGGCTGTTTGGAGACTTTGGGATTTTGATGTACACTTGTAACTTGTACGTACACTTGATGTACACTCCCTGATACAATCATGGAAGTGGAACATGGCCCGAAATCCTGGAAAGACAATTTTCCGAATACCAAACAAGTGGTCCACTTCCATGTTAGTGCCTCAATATGTAATCTTTGGATATCATTTGGAAAGTGTCATTCATTTGAGTGAGAACTTTGGACGATGACTGAGCCAAAGCCAGGGAGTGTCGGGTAGGACAGAACCCTGAGTCACCCACCCTCGTGTTGAATTCACTTTCGAAAACGGATTTGACAAGAGGGTTGATGTACAACGATCCACACCACTACACCCCAGCTCCTGTTCCCAATCAGCAAACCTACGCAGGCGTCGGCTTCTGCAAAAGGGGTGTGACCATTGGTGGGCTCTGGAGTCAAAGTGGTCTGAGTGGTTCCCGGACTTGGGGAATGACTGTCAACCATGGATGCCACATTGCAAGTGGGATAAACCATGGACGGGTGTCATAAGCCACCAGCACAACACCACCGCGGCCGCTGCATCATCCTTCCCGCTGGATGCCCAAACATGTGGCCGGCGGAGTCAATCCATATTCCTGGTGCCGCCGACCCACAAGTAGAAGTTTGTACCAGGACCTTCCAAGAGGTGTCTATAAACAGCCTCTTAGAGGTCAAGGGGTGCCCAAAAACCACCTGTTGGAAGGTCCTGGTACTGATTTTGGCCTAGGGCCTAGAAGATTGTTGGGGTGAGGAACCGTTCCTTTAGTTTGGAGCATTGATATTGTCCGAATAGTTTCACTCCGCCCCCCCCAAAAAAGGCGCGCCTGAGCAAATGGGTCAAAAAAGGCAATCTCCCATCTATCTCCCATCTAAACTCCCCTGCCCACTCCCCCTGGCGTCCGCGATCCTCAGGGACATATGCCTGGATTCCGCTCCCTTAGCGGAGTCGGAGCGCAACCCCAAGAGCCGATGAATAGAACGAAGATGACTCCCCAAACGAACCGACGCGACCGCCCGCGTCGGAGAGTTTGCGGGGGGAAGCGGCCTTAAGCTCCTGGGACTCGGCACAACAAAATGTGTGCGGAACAGACCTAATTATGCAATGGCTTCCAAACTACTCGCAATTGCAATGGCCTCCAACCTACTAGCGATGGCCTCCAACCTAATTGTAATGGCCTCCAACCTAGAAGTGATGGAGTTGTAATGGCCTCCAACCAAATTGTAATGGCCTCCAACCTAGAAGTGATGGCCACCAACCTAATTGCAATGGCCTCCAACATACTAGCGACGGCCTCGAACCTAGTTGCAATGGCCTCTAACCTACTATAGCGATGGCTTCCAACCTAATTGTAATGGCCCCAGCTCCAACCTACTAGCGATGGCCTCCAACCTAATGTGCGAAGCAGACGGGTGCTTCCAGACCTGTGGCTGTCCCTATGGAAATGTGGAGTTGTTTGGAGTTATACGAGGAAAGTCGATGAATTGGACTTCTGTCCGAAACACTGTTTCAGATAGAGAAATGCCGGGTCAATCCAGGTCCGCTTTTTTGCATAAACATTTCCCGCAGCATCCACAGAGAGGAAGATGCTAATGCTGTCATCCATGCACTAGTCGACCATTTTGATGATGAAAGACTTCGTGCGCCGAAGCGATACAGGTTCCATCCACATGGTTTTCCTCTAGAACAGTTGGCTAGTCATGACGCCTGGAGCCCTAAACCGGTTGACCCTTTTGGATTGACCATGTTTGGTAGGCCATTCTGTTCATTTGATAGGTGGTCAACCGGTCGGTCCCCAGTTGTCCCCGGTGCCATGACCGACAGTCTTTGTGGTCGTCGAGTGACCCGTTCACTGACGAAGGTGCACTCGATGTTTGTTCGAAGAAACAGTCATCTCTCTTACCCTAGGGCTCCAAGTGCCTTCTCAGAAGGTATTTGGACCCTCCAAACCCACCCCAAACACCTTCTCAGCAGGTACTTGGAGCCCTAGGGTTAAGGAACCTGAGGACCCCGCCGCCCTCCTTTCCGGACAGATTTGCACCCCTTTCGGTGCGGAACACATAGAGCCTTGTGAAAGCTTAGACCAGCAGAACTGTTGGTATGTCTCATAATTTCTCCGGTGACTCATGTGACAAACAACTTCGATTGGAGTTTCTCGGAATGGAATATATAATTATAGGTCACCATGGACATATATTGACTAACCATGCTTTCGGTTGAAATCGTCTTCCGTATGAGCATCTCTTGACAGGAACAGTAGCTTTGCAGAGCATCGGACTATGCCAGCTGCAATAGACATACTCCCACCCACCGTCGCAAAAAACATGGCCTAAACAAATCAGCCAAATCAACACCAGAGTGCAATGAGTAAATAAGACCAGCTGATTCTCAGCTGATCGATGTTTTTAGGTATTTGTGTATGTGAGAATGCAGATGCGGAAGGGCATCCCCTTTGCTTTAGGCGGATGTTGTTGCTCTTTCTGAGGGGAGCTATGAAAGGATACCAAGAAATACCAAGCATTGCAGCACCAAACAGTTGTTGGTTCTTCATTCCCTTTCCGGCAGCCAAAAGGCTGTGACCTTGTTGTGGATGGACAATTCCGGGATGTATTTACAGCCCTTTGCAAGGGCCGAAGAAGATGCTCTCGCCACCGGATGTGTGGCCGAAAACGGGTCTTCACGGCCCTTGGGGCAACTCCCATGCCAGCGCGTTTCGACACCCAAGACGCCCAGGTGGTGTACGTGTACCATGCGTGTACCGGCCGTGTACGGGTGCGCCCCCTGTTGGTTGCAACAGGGAGACATCCAACACCCCGGAGTTCGGAGGTTTTTTACGAAGGGGCGATAATAAGAGAATACGAGCAACAAGAACCTAATAGCAATGGCCTCCAACCTAAGAGCGATGGCCTCCAACGTAAGGGAGAGATCCAACACCACGGAGTCCGGAGGTTTTTTAATAGATCTTCAGTCCGGCACTTTTACAGGGTCCGGCGCCGGACTTCCAACTCCGGCGTTTTTCTGGATTTGGTCCGGCATTTTTCCCAAGTCACTCTAGGTGGATTCTCAATTCTTTGTGGTCAGCATTTCTTTGAAAGGTAAATCCACTACTGACGAATAATTTTGCTTGAAAGTGTGCTCGTTTGCCTGTTCAGCTGTTTTCTCATTGCACCGGTTTCAGCAGTGGTCCACACTGGCTCAATGAAATCCGTTTAGGTGATCTTCTAAATGCTTTCGATACAGTGTGATGCACGTGTTGAAAGACGCAAGTGTACCCAAGCTGAAAGAACATATAGGCGATAATAAATATATTCCACTGTTTCAGGATGTCGGGGCGCTGGGAAATAGTTCTAGCTACGCAGTTTTGCAGAGCCTGCCGCACAAGTTTTGGCAAGTTTTGGGTTGTGGAACGTGTGCTGTTCAGAACCTCAATGTTTTGCAGAGAGTTGCCCAAAAAACGGCGCGTCGTAACTCCGGCGTAATTTTCCGGACTCACTCTTTTCAAGGCTTTGAATCTTGAAGATTTTGACTGGAACCATGAGTTCTGCTACGTTTATTAGGGGGTCGAGGTCCTGAGGCAAACTAAAGAAAATCCGGAGAGCAACCCACTTTGTAAAGGAGCTTGAGAAACACGGTTGCAGAGAAAGAGGGGCTCCTTGCCACATACTCCTTGGTTTGTTCTTGGAAGTCTTTGCTTGGGCACAAGTTTGCCTATATTTTGTGAAGGTTTTGGTCTTAGGCCTTAGGCATTTCGGAAGATGGGCGAGGGCAATGGGAACGGGAAGGCTCCGGTGATTGGGTTGTGGAATGAGTGTGTTCCAGAAAATCTAGTCGTGGCGCAGATGCAGTTTGCTTGTGTACGATCTTCTGTGTTTTTCAAAATCTTGGATCCAGATGTTTTTTGCAGGTCCCTGGCATTTTTTCGGAATCCGGTGGAACATTTCCACCCTAAAGGTGGATCCAGGTATATTTATATGTTGTTTAAGGCGAGGTATGTTCCTTCCATCACCCGAGGGTCGGGTGGTGTCTGGATATCGTATTCTTATATATATACAGCACCTTAAAAGCTAATAACTTATATGAAGTACTCTGTCCAAACGGCTTCGTAGCGGATCGGGGACAGGCCAAATGGGCCGCCAAAGACTGAATACCGTACTTGTTCTTTTCGAAGAGAAAAGAGTAGCTAGAGCGGCGAAGCCCCTGTTTTCTTGCAGGTCGCAAGTGTGTTTTTTCACCAAAATAGGATGCAATTTGTTTGCCATGACAAAGGTCCAGATAGACGCAACAAATTCCAAAATTGACACTCTCAAATTTGGTCCCTCTTGCCGAACGCAAGGAAGTAGGCCGCGAAAGGCTTTGGGATGGGGAAGAGAGACCTTGAAAGTTCCTAGCTAGAGGTTCAACTGGACCGTCCAGTTTGCCAAGCAGTCTGAAATTTGCGGTTTTCCTTGCAGTCCTTTGTCACTGCCGCTAAGTGGTGGTGTTGGAAGTTTGTATGCAAATACCATAGGCAACCTTAGTCTCTTTGTCTCTGCACCGATCACGATACAAGATGATACAACATAGTTTTGTGGCTGGGGACAGCATTTCGGATTGTTAATATTATGCTGCGGGCGCAGGGAACACTTGAAAGAAACGTTCAGAGTTTGCTCTTTGGGAGGGGCCTCCTCTTCTGTGTGCTCGAGATGTCTTGGTCAGCACGCTTCGGGGCCCAGGGTTTGTGGCTGATCCCTTCAGTTATTTTCTACCATATTTGAGGATCGCTTCGATAGGCACCAAATGCATGGTTTGGGCGTTGCGGATCTAATGGCGAATTCTGAAGGAGGATGCCAGAGGTTTGGTTGGCAAATTTCCGTACATTCATGGCCTCTTGCAAATAGATCGAGTTCACCAAGAGACCAAGTAATGATCAGAACGAGTTGCAGTGGCCTGGAAACTCATGCGATTCATAAACTCGGGGCCAGGCTATCCAATACTATGATTGCTGGATGTGGAATAGACGGTTCAGAGTAGATGGCACTAGACGGGGTCCACTACAAAACCCAAATATCATGCCTAGCTAGAGCATCCATGATCTCACTCAGCTCGAAACGGTCATTTGTTCGAAGGAAGGGCGTTCAAACACGCGCTGGCAACGGGTGAATCTGGCGATGTGGGCGACCTTAGCGGCATTGCAACGGCTGATGGCTCCAGGAATTTGGCATGCATCAATCTTTATAGTCAGACGCTGTGGATTGTTGGGTAAACGCCGTATCTTCATTGGAATCTACCAGGGGTCACAAGTCGGGCTGGTTTTGAGTCCCATCCAGGGGCCGTGGATGTGACAAGGGCACCCCTCTCCTCCGTTCGTTCGGCACCCCGTCGAACGTGACTCCTGGTAAAGGATCTTTGCGAGTTCTGGACTGTGTTTCGATGAAATCTGCCTGTCTTGCAGGCCCATGGGGTGGTGCTGGTCGAAAAGAGGTCGGTCAAGCATTCGGGTTTCGAATGCTTGCTCTTCGTAGCTTAACTACCTGGACCCGACTTCAAGTACCTTAGAAAATGGGACATGACCCCATAAAAACAGGTACTTGTACCCATTGTTCAAGGTACTTTGAGACTCTAGTAACAAGAAGCTACTAGGGGCTCCTGGCCATACTACTAGTAACAAGAAGCTACTAGTATTTGCAGATGGAAATGACCAAAGAGGTCTTTCCAGGTGCAAGCACTCAGTACCCCCCCCTCTCTCTCTTAAACAAACACTGATGAAGCAAAAGGATTCAGACAAGGCAAGTTTATGTTGTCTTCAAAGCTTGAAAACAGGTAGCCAATATGAAGAATCAAAATCAGACAACTTGTGTCAACTTCAACATTGGATTGATTGTGCCGCGGTGTCAACTTCACATGTTCAGCGAAAAAGTTCCACCGATCTTTCCAGTGATCTGTTGCAATCCGTATGCCCCAGTACGGCCACACCATGGAATTGCTGGGCGCAGAGT